CTGCTGCCTTGGTAACGACCCCAGGAGACTCCGCTGATCTCAGCTGTTCTCACAGTATAAAAGACTATGATGTTATCCTCTGGTATAGACAGTATCATTCTCAGGACCGACAGCTACAACTGCTGGGGTACCTTTACACAACCCACCAAACCCCAGAATCCAGTTTCAAGGACCAAATTAAATTAAGAGGAAATGCAGAAGAGTATTGTGATTTAAGCATTTCCAACCTGACACAAGAGGACAGTGCAGTGTATTTATGTGCTGCCAGAGAGCACAGTGCAGCAGCTCCTATCTCAGCCCTACAAAAACCACATCTCAAATACACAGTCACACCTCACACCTTCACTACAGTGTTCTGAACCACATCCTCAATACTAAACATCCTCAATACTAAACTTCCTCACTACTAAACATCCTCAATACTAAACATCCTCAATACTAAACATCCTCAATACTAAACATCCTCACTACTAAACATCCTCAATACTAAACATCCTCAATACTAAACATCCTCAATACTAAACATCCACAATACTAAACATCCTCAATACCAAACATCCTCAATACTAAACATCCTCAATACTAAACATCCTCAATACTAAACATCCTCAATACTAAACATCCTCAATACTAAACATCCTCACTACTAAACATCCTCAATACTAAACATCCACAATACTAAACATCCTCAATACCAAACATCCTCAATACTAAACATCCTCAATACCAAACATCCTCAATACTAAACATCCTCTATTTGTTAGTCAACTTGTCTATAATTAGATACATGCAGCTTCTCTTCTGTCATTATATGTTGCCTCAGAAGACTGAATAAACTCCCGCTCAACAGAATAATGTCATAGATCGATAGTTGAGATCGGTAAAGTTCTCTCTGTCAGAAAGTACAAAAGAAAGGGAACGATGTTCAAATCAGACGAGAAAACGTGTTTCTGATAAGATTTCAGTTCGGCTTCGATGCATATTTTATGTGGTTGAAATACTATCAGCTTTTATGATGCTTTTATGATGAAGACAGTAGATACACTACATGACCAGCAGTATGTGGACACCTGCTCGTCGAACATCTCATTCCAAAATCATGGGCATTAATATGGAGTTGGTCCCCCCCTCTTTGCTGCTACAACAGCCCCCACTCTTCTGGGAAGGCTTTCCACTAGATGTTGGAACATTGCTGCAGGGACTTGCTTCCATTCAGCCACAAGAGCATTAGTGAGGTTGGGCACTGATGTTGGGCGATTAGGACCGGCTCGCAGTCGGCGTTCCAATTCATCCCAAAGGTGTTCGATGGGGTTGAGGTCAGGGCTCTGTGCAGGCCAGTGAAGATCTTCCACACCGATCTCGACAAACCATTTCTGTATGGACCTCGCTTTGTGCACAGGGGCATTGTCATGCTGAAACAGGAAAGGGCCTTCTCCAAACTGTTGGCACAAATTTGGAAGCACAGAATCTTCTAGAATGCCATTGTATGCTGTAGCATTAAGATTTAGCTTCACTGGAACTAAGGGGCCTCGCCCGAACCATGAAAAACAGCCCCAGACCATTATTCCTCCTCCACCAAACTTTACAGTTGGCACTATGTATTGGGGCAGGTAGCGTTCTCCTGGCATCCGCCAAACCCAGATTTGTCCGTCGGACTGCCAGATGGTGAAGCGTGATTCATCACTCCAGAGAACGCGTTTCCACTGCTCCAGAGTCCAATGGCGGCGAGCGTTACACTTCTCCAGCCGACGCTTGGCATTGCGCATGGTGAGCTTAGGCTTGTGTGCGGCTGCTCGGCCATGGAAACTCATTTCATGAAGCTCCCGACAAACAGTTCTTGAGCTGATGTTGCTTCCAGAGGCAGTTTGGAACTCGGTAGTGAGGGTTGCAACCGAGGACAGGCGATTTGTACGCGCTACGCACTTCAGCACTTGGCGGTCCCGTTCTGTGAGCTTGTGTGGCCTACCACTTCGATGCTGAGCCGTTGTTGCTCCTAGACGTTTCCACTTCACAATAACAGCACTTACAGTTGACCGGGGCAGCTCTAGCAGGGCAGATATTTGACGAACTGACTTGTTGGAAAGGTGGCGTCCTATGATGGTGCCACGTTGAAAGTCACTGAGCTCTTCAGTAAGGCACATTCTACTGCCAATGTTTGTCTATGGAGATTGCGTGGCTGTGTGCTCGATTTTATACACCTGTCAGCAACGGGTGTGGCTGAAATAGCCGAATCCACTAATTTGAAAGGGTGCCCACGTACTTGTGTATATATGGTGTATCTAACTGAGCATTGCATTCTCTCAAGATGCAGAAATAAATCAATCATATTTCTCCACTCCTGTTCCCGAAGTCCAAATTTAGCTTACTTTTGGTGTATCATTTCACTGCAAGAAATCCTTCTGCAGGAGTTCATATTAAGGCTATGTGAGAGGTTATAGACCGACAGTCAGTGTCTAGATTTCAGTTTCCCCATCTGAACAGTAGGCTACAGTTCCCTTGACATGCCATAAGTTTCCCCATCTGAACAGTAGGCTACAGTTCCCTTGACGTGCCATAAGTTTCCCCATCTGAACAGTAGGCTACAGTTCCCTTGACGTGCCATAAGTTTCCCCATCTGAACAGTAGGCTACAGTTCCCTTGACGTGCCATAAGTTTCCCCATCTGAACAGGCTACAGTTCCCTTGACGTGCCATAGGCCTGTTTGAAGTCCCGTCTTGTGACTGTCTAATTGGTATAGCGCCTCACAATCATCACACATAACATAGCCGTGCATATCTCTCTTGTCTTTTTGAATTAAACTTCGACAATGTCCTTTTTGCCTCCGTGGATAGATCTTAACCTTTTCTGCCAGTTCCCAAATGCATTATTTGGCGATTGGCTGATTGGCTGATTGGCTGATTGGCTGATTGGCTGTGTAGGCTAATTGGCGAGCATACAGTTAAGCCCTTATAGATGTACACCAGATACATTTATTGATTTTTTTTAAGGTATTGTTTCTCTTTGTTCATACCCGCCCGTCACCCACCCGCCCGTCACCCACCCGCCCGTCACCCACCCGCCCTTCAGCCACTCAATATTTAATGGCCCTAAACCCGTCCGCCCCACTGGTATAACCGCAGGGACTGCTGGGTTTTGAGTCAACCTGCACACCACTAATCCACAATACTAAACATCCTCAATGTTAAACATCCTCAATACTAAACATCCTCAATACTAAACATCCTCAATACTAAACATCCTCAATACTAAACATCCTCAATACTAAACATCCTCAAAACTAAGCATCCTCAATACTAAGCATCCTCAATACTAAATATCCACAATGCTAAACATCCTCAATGTTAAACATCCACAATACTAAACATCCTCAATACTAAACATCCTCAATACTAAACATCCTCAATAATAACCATCCACAACACTAAGCATCCTCAATACTAAACATCCTCAATACTAAACCTCCTCAATAATAAACATCCTCAATACTAAACATCCTCAATACTAACATCCTCAATACCAAACATCCTCAATACTAAACATCCTCAATAATAACCATCCACAACACTAAGCATCCTCAATACTAAACATCCTCAATACTAAACATCCTCAATACTAAACATCCTCAATACTAAACATCCACAATGCTAAACATCCTCAATGTTAAACATCCACAATACTAAACATCTTCAATACTAAACATCCTCAATACTAAACATCCACAATACTAAACATTCTCAATACTAAACATCCTCAATACTAAACATCCACAATGCTAAACATCCTCAATGTTAAACATCCTCAATACTAAACATCCTCAATACTAAACATCCTCACTACTAAACATCCTCAATACTAAACATCCTCAATACTAAACATTCTCAATACTAAACATCCTCAATACTAACATTCTCAATACTAAACATCCTCAATACTAAACATCCTCAATACTAACATTCTCAATACTAAACATCCTCAATACTAAGCATCCTCAATACTAAACATCCTCAATACTAAACATCCTCAATACTAAACATCCACAATGCTAAACATCCTCAATGTTAAACATCCACAATACTAAACATCCTCAATACTAAACATCCTCAATACTAAACATCCTCAATAATAACCATCCACAACACTAAGCATCCTCAATACTAAACATCCTCAATACTAAACCTCCTCAATGCCAAGCATCCTCAATACTAAACATCCTCAATACTAAACCTCCTCAATACTAAACATCCTCAATACTAAACATCCTCAATACTAACATCCTCAATACCAAACATCCTCAATAATAACCATCCACAACACTAAGCATCCTCAATACTAAACATCCTCAATACTAAACATCCTCAATACTAAACATCCTCAATGTTAAACATCCACAATAAACATCTTCAATACTAAACATCCTCAACACTAAACATCCACAATACTAAATGTCTCAATACTAAACATCCACAATGCTAAACATCCTCAATGTTAAACATCCTCAATACTAAACATCCTCAATACTAACATTCTCAATACTAAACATCCTCAATACTAAACATCCTCAATACTAACATTCTTAATAATAAACATCCTCAATAATAAACATCCTCAATACTAAACATCCTCAATACTTTTATTTTATCTTTATTTAACTAGGCAAGTCAGTTAAGAACAAACTCTTATTTACAATGACGGCCTACACCGGCCAAACCCGGACGACACTGGGCCAATTGTGCGCCGCCCTATGGGACTCCCAATCACGGCCGGTTGTGATACAGCCTGGAATCGAACCAGGGGGTCTGTAGTGACGCCTCAAGCAGTGAGATGCAGTGCCTTAGACCGCTGCGCCACTCGGGAGCCCACATCCACAATACTAAACATCCTAAAAAAAACTATAACAACATTTAGGGTTTATTTTCTTCAAAATAGAGGCATTTCTTTTTTTACAAACTCCATGTTTTGTTTTATGTTACTGTAGCAATACCTTCCAGCAGAGAGCAGTGATGTTCCACTGTACTGTAGGGCGATACATCAGCTATAAGCTCCTCCCACCTCAGAACAAACACTCTGAACACCTCTGACCATAGACATAGATCTAACTCTACAGCTCTGACAGACAGACAGACAGACAGACATCATGATCAGAGTCCTCCTCACAGCTACTGTCTCACTCCTCTGGCTCACAGGTGAAGATAAGGTTCAGTATATCAGGTGAAGATAAGGTTCAGTATATCAGGTGAATGTAAGGTTCAGTATATCAGGTGAAGGTAAGGTTCAGTATATCAGGTGAAGGTAAGGTTCAGTATATCAGGTGAAGGTAAGGTTCAGTACATCAGGTGAAGATAAGGTTCAGTACATCAGGTGAAGGTAAGGTTCAGTATATCAGGTGAAGGTATGGTTCAGTATATCAGGTGAAGATAATGTTCAGTACATCAGGTGAAGGTAAGGTTCAGTATATCAGGTGAAGGTAAGGTTCAGTTAGTAGATAATCTGTTTTATTATTGTCTCTCTGTGTTTCATCTTCCCTCTCTCCTCCCCAGGTTCCTGTGTGTCCCTCTCTGTCCACCAATCTCCTCTTCAACTCACCAAGAGGCCAGGAAACACCTTAAAGATTACCTGCAGTCACCATGACAGAAACTATGATAAGATCTACTGGTACCGTCAGACACATGGACAACAGCTCCAGATCATCGGCTTCCTGTCCTTTAAAGAAGCGTTTGATGTTGCCGAGAACTTTAACATCTCAGGCGACGCAGAGAATGAGGGTTTTCTGGGGTCGCCTGCAGTGAGAGTTGAAGACACTGGGGTATATTATTGTGCTGTGAGTAAAGCACAGTGAAGCAGATACACTTTGCACTACACACAAAACAAAACCCCTCCCCCTCCCTCTACACCATACACAAAACCACTCCCCTTCCTCTAAACTACACCAAAGATTGTCTATTATATTGACAAGATATTCGAGTGACCGCTCTAACAATGGAAACACAGGTCCCCAAAGACAGAAGGCAGGCAGGAGGAGATGAGATCAGGTGGGACCATTCTAGCCAATGAGAGGGCAGATACGCGTGTGAACAACAGGCCATAGAGATAGATAGAGGACTCATCTTTGTATCTGTGCCATTACAGCGTCTGTGACAGCATGGGCAGCACCATTGAGGCGATCTCCATTTTAAAGTAGTCCGTTTTCTTCTTCTTCTTCATAGAACTCGCCAGCTTGTAGTCCTAAAACCCGGAAATGAGTTTCCTCTGGTTCGTTCAGCCATCTCTATGGGGAAAATGAATGGGGAAAGAATAGGGTTTTGAGATAAACACCGAAAATAAGGTCAGAGGTCAACACAGGCTTAGGAGATTTTATAGGTTTTATTCTATGAGATAATATCAGTCAGTTAACGTGACCTTTATGAATTATGAGGCCTTTATGTGCTTTTTCTGATTACATAAATGCTTCATAATTTATAAAAAGTTAGCTGATGGAGATTATCTCATAGAACCAAACGTATAAGGTTTCCTAAACCTGGGTTTACCACAGACCTTTTCTTCAGTGTTTATCCAAAAACCCTACAAAAACTCCATTCATCCCCATATGTAAAAATGTATGCACACATGACTGTAAGTCGCTTTGGATGAAAGCGTCTGCTAAATGGCATATTATTATTATTATTAGTATTATTATTATTATTATTATTATTATTATACGCTTTGTCCAACGAACCATGGCGGAGTTAATGCCTTCAAAAAGACGCCTCACCCAGTTGACTACTTTAAAATTATTATTCTTCGTCTTCTCCTTCCTCTTCCTCTTCTTCTCCTCACTCTCTCCCTCTCTCCACGGGTTCCTCTCTGAACACCACCATTCACCAGAGTCCTGTATCTGTGATCAGGAACCAGGGAGGGCCAGAGGAGCTGCAGTGTTCCCACAGAACCCCAGCCCTAGACCGGCTCTACTGGGACCAGCAGACCGCAGGAGGAGGAACACAGAACCACAGAACCCCAGCCCTAGACCGGCTCTACTGGGACCAGCAGACCGCAGGAGGAGGAACACAGAACCCCAGCCCTAGACCGGCTCTACTGGGACGAGCAGACCGCAGGAGGAGGAACACAGAACCCCAGCCCTAGACCGTCTCTACTGGGACCAGCAGACCGCAGGAGGAGGTCCACAGATCCCCAGCCCTAGACCGTCTCTACTGGGTCCAGCAGACCGCAGGAGGAGGGAGAAGCATCCAGGTACGCAACCTGTAGACGTTTGTTGGTCTCATGTACTGCGTGAGTCAATAGCTCTGGTCCAGGGCGTCAGTGTGCTACGCACATACCAGATGGCGCACTAGCTCTGGTCCATGGCGTTATGTTAACCACTGTTGCTTGTCCTGCTAGCTAGTACACACTAGCTAGTACACACTAGCTAGCTAGTACACACTATTTTGTACACACTAGCTAGCTAGCACACACTAGCTAGTACCTAGCTTCTAATTATAAATGTAATTTCACCACCCGTGTCCGTGTCGTTGTTGGCAGTAAAGCACCATCTTCTCAGGCACCATTACACATCCTGTCTGAGCACTCGTCTCACAGCATCTGTGGAGTGAGAAGGTATCTGCTGGAGAGAGACCCCATTGGGAGGAGGAGGAGGAGAGGTGGAGGATCTTTCATGCTTTATTACCTTTTTTTTTTTAATGTAATTTAAATGTTCAAGGACCTCAATGTTATACAATTGTATAATGTATATACTGTACAAATAGGGCCTGATCTAGAACACACACAAAAGTAGGCCCCGTGTAGCTCAGTTGGTAGAGCATGGCGCTTGCAACACCAGGATTGTGGGTTCGTTTCCCACGGGGGGCCAATATGAAAATGAATGCAATCACTAACTGTAAAGTCGCTCTGGATAAGAGCGTCTGCTAAATGACAAAAAATGTAAAAGGACATTACCACTTTAAGAATAATGTTTTTTTGGGGGGGCCTTTCCATTGCATTGATATTCAAAGTATTATTACATTGTAAAATATGTAAGAATAATGTGGACTTGCCTGATTAAATAGAGTGGATGCCATGTAGCCGATGTGGCTGACGCAGGCCCAGGTAATAAAGCCACGAATAGCATTCATCTCACCATCAGTTGTTTTCTAATGAGAAAGCAACCAAATGCCAGGTTCCTTTTGTAATGTTAAGATTTGTATGGAAAGCCAAGTCGAACCAAAACCAGGTTCCTTTTGTAATGTTAAGATTTGTATGGAAAGCCAAGTCGAACCAAAACCAGGTTCCTTTTGTAATGTTAAGATTTGTATGGAAAGCCAAGTCGAACCAAAACCAGGTTCCTTTTGTAATGTTAAGATTTGTATGGAAAGCCAAGTCGAACCAAAACCAGGTTCCTTTTGTAATGTTAAGATTTGTATGGAAAGCCAAGTCGAACCAAAACCAGGTTCCTTTTGTAATGTTAAGATTTGTATGGAAAGCCAAGTCGAACCAAAACCAGGTTCCTTTTGTAATGTTAAGATTTGTATGGAAAGCCAAGTCGAACCAAAACCAGGTTCCTTTTGTAATGTTAAGATTTGTATTTGAAAGCCAAGTCGAACCAAAACCAGGTTCCTTTTGTAATGTTAAGATTTGTATGGAAAGCCAAGTCGAACCAAAACCAGGTTCCTTTTGTAATGTTAAGATTTGTATTTGAAAGCCAAGTCAAACCAAAACCAGGTTCCTTTTGTAATTTTAAGATTTGTATTTGAAAGCCAAGTCGAACCAAAACCAGCTTCCTTTTGTAATGTTAAGATTTGTATTTGAAAGCCAAGTCGAAGCCGACATTAAAATGTTGTCATCCTCATAATAAGCGCACGTGGTTTTACCGCAACAGAGTGGCGCAACACCGGGAAACAAATGAAAGTGGCCACATCTATTACAAAAACGGATCCAAAAAAAAAATCGCGGATAATTATAAGGGAGCAGGAAAAATTATAAGTTGGCTACAGTAATCACGAGTCCTTTTCAAGAACCAAATTGAGGAAATGTCTGGTTTTCAAGGTTGGCCTATTCCAGTTCTTGAATTTCTGAGCTCCAAATTCAAAGTTCAGTAGGCTGCTTCAAGCCCCTTGTTTCGTTTAACATTGCAGGTGTACACATGGAAACCAAAAATGTATTTGTCATGTTACTTCATTACCACATCGTATTGTGAAGAAGCCATCTAGGCTATGTAATGTGATGTCATTATATCCAGAGTAATTGATAGGAATAGCGTTGTGTGTTGCGCAATAGTAAACTCGGTGTTCAATCCGAGGCACAAAAACATATGAAAACATGAACTCATTACCTCGGTGCTTTTTGCTCTGTTAAATCTAACGAGATCCTGCTGTAAATCAATCAGACAACAACAGATGATAAACATCAATTCGCTAGGGATATTGGATCCAGACACAACTGTCTTCACAGGCATAAGGAATGAGACACCAAAATATTCTGGACATTAATTTTCCAACACTTTTTTTTTTTCCAGCACTTGGGCTGTTGTAGCATCGCACGCGCTATCACAACAGCTGTTAGTCACCTGACTGTCATTCAGAAAATTCCTTCCAGGATCAGATGTTGATGTGTGAAAGTATCAATGTGTAATTTAACAGCTGGACACAAAATGCGCATCAAACAAATGTTATGCATAATCATTGAAGAACCACGTTAATGACAGTATCGATTTGGGTTTTAAAGTATCAAGGTAAGGTGACTCTTTCAGTTAGAAGCATTCGATTTTGCAATCACATACATTTTGGGGGATTTGTGTGCCCATGAAAACTGTTTCCCCGTAACATAAGGAGACACTAAATGTTACGTCATTACAATGCATTTCTGAGATACAAAAAACTGTCCGACAGCTAGATCCATGATTCTTACAGGGCTGTCCGACAGCTAGATCCATGATTCTTACAGGGCTGTCCGACAGCTAGATCCATGATTCTTACAGGGCTGAAGTTCAATGTCAAATTGAACTGATTAATGCTTAATGTATGATATAACGGCAACTTCCACTGCCATAAATGCAAGGACACAAAAGTTATTTTTTATGTCACACGATTTTGGACAAGTCTGTCAATACATCAACCATGAGAAAGGGTTAAACATAGGTTTGAAATCAAACCGTGAATTTTATTGAATATATCTATGTTCCCCCTTATATCTTAATGTAATGACTTGAAAAAAATGGCAGATTATTATCAATGACATCAGATCTGTGACAAGTTGTCCAGCGTAAGAAATACTCACTGGTACCCTAGTTTATAGAAAGACCCCATATGCTCCCAACAATTTAATGGGTAAACTGGCTTCCAACCAAGGTACACGAACCATGGACTGGGTTAGGTTTAATGGGTTAGGTTTAATGGGTTAGATTTAATGGATTAGGTTTAATGGGTTAGGTTTAATGGGTTAGGTTTACTGAGTTAGGTTTAATAGGTTAGGTTTAATGGGTTAGGTTTAATGAGTTAGGTTTAATGGGTTAGGTTTAATGGGTTAGGTTTAATGGGTTAGGTTTAATGAGTTAGGTTTAATGAGTTAGGTTTAATGGGTTAGGTTTAATGGGTTAGGTTTAATGGGTTAGGTTTGATGGGTTAGGTTTAATGGGTTAGGTTTAATGAGTTAGGTTTAATGAGTTAGGTTAATATAGAGTGGGCAACTTTTTTTCATTTTTTTAAATATACAATTCATTCAGAAAGTATTCAGACCCCTTGACCTTTTCCACATTTTGTTACATTACAGCTTTATTCTAAAATGAATAAAAAATAAATACAAAAATCCTCATCAATCTACACACAATACCCCATAATGACTAACTGTAAGTCGCTCTGGATAAGAGCGTCTGCTAAATGACTAAATTTTTTAATAAGAAAACAAAAAAACAAAGCGAAAACAGCTTTTTAGAAAATTTGGCAAATGTATTCAGCATATCTGATTCAGCTAGTTAAGGTCTTGTTGAGCAGGTAATAAGTAGAATCAGGTGTGTTACATTAGGGTTGGACTGAAAACCCACAGGATGGTCGATCTCCAGGAAGAGGGTTGGACTGAAAACCCACAGGATGGTCGATCTCCAGGAAGAGGGTTGGACTGAAAACCCACAGGATGGTCGATCTCCAGGAAGAGGGTTGGACTGAAAACCCACAGGATGATCGATCTCCAGGAAGAGGGTTGGACTGAAAACCCACAGGATGGTCGATCTCCAGGAAGAGGGTTGGACTGAAAACCCACAGGATGGTCGATCTCCAGGAAGAGGGTTGGACTGAAAACCCACAGGACGGTCGATCTCCAGGAAGAGGGTTGGACTGAAAACCCACAGGATGGTCGATCTCCAGGAAGAGGGTTGGACTGAAAACCCACAGGATGGTCGATCTCCAGGAAGAGGGTTGGACTGAAAACCCACAGGATGATCGATCTCCAGGAAGAGGGTTGGACTGAAAACCCACAGGATGGTCGATCTCCAGGAAGAGGGTTGGACTGAAAACCCACAGGATGGTCGATCTCCAGGAAGAGGGTTGGACTGAAAACCCACAGGACGGTCGATCTCCAGGAAGAGGGTTGGACTGAAAACCCACAGGATGGTCGATCTCCAGGAAGAGGGTTGGACTGAAAACCCACAGGATGGTCGATCTCCAGGAAGAGGGTTGGACTGAAAACCCACAGGATGGTCGATCTCCAGGAAGAGGGTTGGACTGAAAACCCACAGGATGGTCGATCTCCAGGAAGAGGGTTGGACTGAAAACCCACAGGATGGTCGATCTCCAGGAAGAGGGTTGGACTGAAAACCCACAGGATGGTCGATCTCCAGGAAGAGGGTTGGACTGAAAACCCATAGGATGGTCGATCTCCAGGAAGAGGGTTGGACTGAAAACCCACAGGATGGTCGATCTCCAGGAAGAGGGTTGGACTGAAAACCCACAGGATGGTCGATCTCCAGGAAGAGGGTTGGACTGAAAACCCACAGGATGGTCGATCTCCAGGAAGAGGGTTGGACTGAAAACCCACAGGATGGTCGATCTCCAGGAAGAGGGTTGGACTGAAAACCCACAGGATGGTCGATCTCCAGGAAGAGGGTTGGACTGAAAACCCACAGGATGGTCGATCTACAGGAAGAGGGTTGGACTGAA